CGCTCTTCCCCGAGGAGGCAGGAGTCCTTGTGCCCCCTTCCACCACCCCCGGCGCTGGACAGGAGCATGGTCCCCATCGCAGCTTACAGCGCTGCATGGACAGGGAATGCAGGAACGAGGACCCCAGGATCCTCATGCTGAGCTGTGGTGTCCTGCGCCGGGGGAGCCTGCATGCTCAGAGTAGCAGAGGAGAGATGCCAGGGACAAGGTGACCAAGGATGACAGGGCTAGAGGAGGAGGGACGCCAGGGATAGAGGACCACGGATGGCAAGACTAGCAGAGGAGGAATGCCAAGAGCAGCAGAGCAGGCCTGCACTTGCAGGGTGGGAGTGCAGGAGGCACATCTCCAGCTCAAAGCCCCCTCTCTGACACTTCTGCCCACACGGGTTTTGCAGCATGGGATTGGGACTGTAGGCCAAGGAGCCTCTGTGCTGCCTAGGGTGTTGCTGGCCTTCACCACCAGACTTCCCCTGGCTGCCCCTCATTGCACCCACACCCCAAAGGCCCTCAGCCCATGAGGCTGATGGCTTGCCAGGCTCTGGAGCAGCAGGCAGGGGCTTCCCCAAGCTGGCTGCACCTCATGGGACATATATGTACCCACGTTAGCTCCCTGGGCTGCCGTGGTTTGGGGAAGGCGCTGAGGCTGCCAGGGAGCCTGGCAGGGCAGCTGGAGGAGGGGAGCTGGGCCAGGCTCTGCTCCCTGTGCTGCTGAAGGACAGCCCCGGCCAGAGTCCACGTGGCTGGTGACTCCCAGGGTGGCCTGAGTGGGAGGGTCACCAGGGCCAGCTCCTGACCCTGCATGGTGCGAGTGCATGGCCAAGGGCAATGTCAGCCACCTAGGGAGCCTCAGGGGCATGTGGGAGGTCACCCAAAAGAAATTGTGCTCCCCGGGGCTGCTGCCAGGGCAGGTTCTGTGCAGGTGGCTGTGAAGTACTGACACCAGGCAGAGCCCTCCCTGGGGTGGAGTGGACAGAGCTGTGCCAGGGTCTGACCCTGCCTCTCCCCCTCCCCAGCGCGAGTGCATCTCGGTCCACGTTGGCCAGGCCGGCGTCCAGATGGGCAACACCTGCTGGGAGCTGTACTGCCTGGAGCACGGCATCCAGCCTGACGGGCAGATGCCCAGTGACAAAACCATTGGTGGAGGGGATGACTCCTTCACCACCTTCTTCTGTGAGACTGGGGCTGGGAAGCATGTCCCGCGGGCCATCTTTGTGGACCTGGAGCCCACTGTGATCGGTGAGTGCTGGGGTGTGCATGGCCTGGGATGCACCCCTGGGGGGGGTAGGCAGCAGCCTGCACTGGGTTCAGTCTGAGGGTTTGCCTTTCCCCGGGAGAAACCACAAACCCAAGCACCTTTTTGTTCCTGAAGTGTCCTAAAGGCATCCATGCTGGTAGTCTCTGCTATCACATGTGCACGGGAAGAAACCAGCCCAACCGGCACAGCAGCTCCTGCCATCACAGCAGCTGTTGACAGGAGGCTCCCGATGGGTGGGGAAAGCTGAGCTCCTGTGCAAGGAGGTGGCAGCCACCTCTGTCTGCCAGAGAAACCTGATGCTTGTGGTGGCAACTCTGATATGTGGGTCCTTGGCAGTGGCCCTAGCAGGTGGAGCTGGGAGGAGGGAAAGGCATGGGTGCTTGAACCACTGTTTGGTGGCTGGCTCAAATCTACAGCCTGGTCCAGGCTCAACTGTCTCCTGCTCTCTCCTAGATGAGGTTCGAGGAGGAGTTTACCGCCAGCTCTTCCACCCTGAGCAGCTGATCACTGGCAAAGAGGATGCTGCCAACAACTATGCCCGTGGGCACTACACTATTGGCAAAGAGATCATTGACCAAGTGCTGGACAGGATCCGGAAACTGGTAAGTGACCACAGAGGATGAATGTGTCCCTCTGAGCTAGGCTCCTGAATCCTGCTGGGGCTAAGCACACTCCAAGCACTGCTCTGCCCTCAGCTAGGCTCTGTGGCTGCACATGGCAGGGATGGACCAAGGCTTGGAGGACTTCTGAAAAGACAGGTGTTCACAAGGAAATCCATCTCAAAACAACCTGGTGGGTCTCTCTCCACAGGCTGACCAGTGCACAGGACTCCAAGGCTTCCTTGTGTTTCACAGTTTTGGAGGTGGCACTGGCTCTGGATTCACCTCCCTGTTGATGGAGCGACTCTCTGTTGACTATGGCAAGAAGTCCAAGCTGGAATTCTCCATCTACCCCGCGCCACAGGTCTCCACTGCTGTGGTGGAGCCCTACAACTCCATCCTCACCACCCATACCACCCTGGAGCACTCAGACTGTGCATTTATGGTGGACAATGAGGCCATCTACGACATCTGCCGCAGGAACCTGGACATTGAGCGCCCGACCTACACCAACTTGAACAGACTCATCAGCCAGATTGTCTCCTCCATCACGGCATCACTGCGGTTTGATGGGGCCCTGAATGTTGACCTGACTGAGTTCCAGACCAACCTGGTGCCCTACCCTCGCATCCACTTCCCCCTGGCCACCTATGCTCCTGTCATCTCTGCAGAGAAGGCCTACCATGAGCAGCTGTCCGTGGCTGAGATCACCAACTCCTGTTTTGAGCCTGCCAACCAGATGGTGAAGTGTGACCCCCGCCATGGCAAGTACATGGCCTGCTGCCTGCTGTACCGCGGGGATGTGGTGCCCAAGGACGTCAACGCCGCCATCGCCACCATCAAGACCAAGCGCAGCATCCAGTTTGTGGACTGGTGCCCCACAGGCTTCAAGGTGGGCATCAACTACCAGCCACCCACGGTGGTACCGGGAGGGGACCTGGCCAAGGTGCAGCGTGCTGTCTGCATGCTGAGCAACACCACGGCCATCGCCGAGGCCTGGGCCCGCCTGGACCACAAGTTTGACCTGATGTACGCCAAGAGGGCCTTCGTGCACTGGTACGTGGGCGAGGGCATGGAGGAAGGGGAGTTCTCAGAGGCACGGGAAGACATGGCCGCTCTGGAGAAGGATTACGAGGAGGTGGGCCTGGACTCCTACGAGGATGAAGAGGAGGGCGAGGAGTAGAGAAGCCCTTGCCAAAAAGGACTGTGCTCCTTCCCCGCGTTACCTGCAGGAACCCTTTGCAATAAATCATTTCAGAGCCTCCATGTCTCCCAGTAACCCCCAGCTGTGTTGGTTTCTTGCCAGGTCAGGTGTGTGGTGAGTGTTTCAGCTCTGCTGCTGGTGCTGCTATGCTTCCTCGTATTGCTCTACTCTAGCTCCAGCTTGCTCCCCACATAGGCAAGAACCCCTGTCTGCTCCCTGGGGCTGTGGCACATAACCCACCCATCTTCCTGCTTGAGCTAGGGGTGGGTATTGCTTCCTCAGGTGGTTGATGGCCCCATGGTATATGGCCCTATGTTGTATTCTGGAGACCAGGGGAACAGATTTAGCCCAAGCAGGAAAACATCTCCGGCTGCTGGGACCTCTCCCAGCCCAAGGGTGAGTGGGCTTGTCTGGAAGGAGTTGGAAGGAGGCTGAAGCATTGGGAGCAGCCTGGCACCCTTGTCCCTGTGGTCACAGCATGGGACGCCTGGCTCTGTGGTGCAGTGGGTGCCACCCCACAAGGGCATCCAGTGTGGCATGAACCCCTGCGGTTGCTTTACTGCTGTGTTGTGGTGAGAGGATTAAAGGAGGGGAATGCTCCCCATGAAATTGCTTGTCTGCATCTCTTTTTTCACCCTGCCTTTGTGGCCCATCCAACTGGTGTGTGTTCCAGGGTGCCTCCCCAGCCAAGGGTGGTTCGGCTGTCCCCAGACTCTGCTCATCCCCACCGGAGCAGCACTGCTGCATCTTCCCCCCAGGCTCTGGCAGCTCCCCAACCTGGGCACCCACCTCATTCTCCTTGGGTGGCTGAGAAGCTCTCCCTGTACCTCTGCACTGCCTGCCAGGGCTGTGCTGAGCCTCTTCCCACAGTGCCCAGCCCCAGAGGCTCCCAACAGCGGCACCTGGCTCCAGCTGCAGAGTTGTATTCACTCCCATCAGGAGCACACTGGGGCCAGGGATTAACTTTCCCTGCTTACTGCTAATGCTCCAGCCGCACTGCCCTGCCCAGGCTGTCCTCTGCTGCCCCTCCCTCGTACAACCCAGACAGTTCTCCCTGTGCCCCGGCGGGACCCTCTTCCCACAGGCAGGGACACGTCCACACCTCCACAAGAACATCTTTTACTCCAAACAGAAGGCAACGTCGGTGCCGAGAGCAGCAGCGGAGCGGGGCTGGGTCCCCCCGCCTTGCTCCAGCACCGCACCAGGGCCCAGACTGCAGCTCAGAGCAGCCCTCCTGGGGCGCAGAGCTGTGGGGCCATGGCTGCCCTCACCCGGGGGGTTCCACATCATCCTTCTCTGCAACCCCCGGAGGAGGCAGCGGCTGGCAAGGGCCCTGTTTAGCAGCAAGTCACACATCTGCAGCCCTAGGGCCCAGACCAAGTTCCAGGCAGCAGCATCCAGGGTACAGACCACTTCAAATCCAACACACTTCCAGCACAGAGCAGCAGCTCTCTCCCACACAGTAATCCCCTCTGCAATGCCTTTGTGGGGCAGCAGGGACAAGGGCAGCTGCTTTTCCCCTGGCTCAGCCTCGGGGTGCTTTGCTGCCACAGGGTGGGATGGGCTCAGATCTGTGTTGTGTCCTGGCCCGCTGGTGCTGGCTGCAGCCCCTCCAGCTGGTGGAGGATGTCATCTATGCTGGGTCGTGCCTGGGGGTTCAGCGTCATCATGGAGGAGAGCAGGTGCTGCAAGGCAGCTGAATATCTGGAGGAAAGATGGCAAGGGGTACACAGCGTAGGGGGCCACCTGGGAGCAGGGTGGCTCTCCCCAGCCTCTCACCTGGTCGTGGGGGGCACAGTGATGGGGTTCTGCACTGCCAGAGCCACGCTGTCGCCCTTCTGGAAGACGGCATCATAGGGGCCCTCCCCAAACATCATGCAGTACAGCACACAGCCTAAGGACTGGAGTGCAGAAGGGTCAGGGCAGTCCTGCCATGGTGGGGCAGGGGCTGGGGCGGGGGGGCAGTTCCTTACCCAGATATCCGTGCGCTCATCTATGACACACTGGCTTGGCACCGTAAAGAGCTCAGGGGCACGGTAGGAGATGGTGCAGCGCTGAGCAGCCCAGTCCTGTAGAGAGGAGGGTGAGGGTGGAGGTAAAGGCTTATCAGAGATGGGATGGTAAGGTGATGTCCCAGAGCACCCACCTGCACAGCTATGGCCTTCCGAGAGCTGTTAACTTCAATGCGAGCTTTGTTCATAGAGCCAAGGTCCATCAGTATGGGCCGATCATCCTCATCCAGCAGCACATTGGTGGGCTTGAGGTCCCTGTGGGGATGGACATCACTGAACATCTGCTGGGTCCCCTGCCCACCCCTTCAGCCAGGTCTGCTCACTCTCCACCTGTGCGCATAGCCCTTGCTGTGGATGGCTTGCAGCCCAGAGCAGATTCCATGGAGGATGAGGAGGATCCGCTGCTCTGGCATGAAGGTCCCTTTCTCTCGCAGTGCTTGCACCTCGCTCCAGAGGGTCCCCCCCTGACAAACACAAGCAGCCAGTCACCTCTGGTGCTCCCAATGGCAAGGGGGTGGAGGCAGACAGGGAAGCCCCCCTTCACCTTCACATAGGGCAGGAGGAGCCAAGCCTCATGCTTGGCACCCTTCTCCACCATGCAGTGGGCTACCAGACGCAGGATGTTGGGGTGGTCAAAGAGGCCGTGCATCTCCACCTCGTGCAGGGCAGCCTGCCGGTCTTCCTTGTCATGGCACAGGATGCGCTTCAGGGCATAGAAGCGCCCGTCCCTCAGCCCCTCCACCAGGTCCACATAGCTGAAGCCCCTGTGAGGACCCAAGCGTGGCATGGGCTGGGTTTCCCACATACAAGCCCTGTGCCCAGCCTCCACTGCCAGCATTAAGGGTAGGGGGGTAGAGGGCAGCAGGTGCCTGCACCCCACTCCGTGGGAGCCCTGCCAGGCATGCACATTCCCCCCACTTTGAGAGCACCTGCCAGGCACCCAAAGCATCCCTCCCTTTGCATGAACAACCCCGCTGGCCCAATTACCCTTACTCCTGTGGGTCCAAGAACCTACCCCTGGGTATAACTGACCCCAGCTAGCCAACATGAGAATCCTCCTCCATGCACTTACTCAAGCATCTCCCCACTGTGCTCAAGCATAACCCCCCACGTCTGAGCATCACCCCCATGCCCGAGCATCCTCCCCATGCTGGAACA